AGTCACCGAACGTCATAGTGTTAAAAGAAAAATATTTTTTATTTAAACAAGTATAAGAAAAAAATATAACTTTAATGAATATCATTGTTAAAAACCTTTGTCGTCCCTATGGTACTATTACAAAATATCCCTTATACACTATGCTTATGATATTATAATATCTATATATGTGTGTGTGTATGCAATCAACTCTCGATCATATATGTTGTAGTAGTCAAACGGGCAACTAACAAATTTACGTCTTTTAATTATATTACAAACGTATGTGTGTCCACGTTGCTGCACCAGTACCCTGTGCTTTAAATTTATTAACTATTACCTCATTTATCGTTCTACTTCATTATTGATAAACTTTATTAACTTATTAACGGGCTAACTGATAATAGGTAACGTTCGTTCCAGTTACGTAGGACATACACCTACATACAGGAAGAAAATGTTCATAGTTGTTGCATTTTAAATTATCAAATCAACAAAAGAAATGTGCCAATTAATTGTACACAAATATTGTTAACACAATTTAGTTGATAACAAATCTTTCTCAGAATGTAATCTTAGAGAAACTCAGAGTTGTTTTCGTCACAAGTGTAATATCCAATCGTAAATGAATTAAAGTTCATTCAATTAATTTTTTTTTTTATTAGGATTAGAATGTTTCTGTCATTCTTGAGCAAGAAACGAAGACAGAAACAAATGATGACCACGATTCTGACGATTCTGATGACCACTTGTTGTTCATTCTATCTACTATCCTCAGAAATCCTCTTTCTGTGAGACTGTAGATTAATGGGACTCACTCATACGGGGCTAGAAATAAGACTCATTCAACATCCGTGGGACCTACGAAAAAAGACAAGCAAGCAAGCAAGAAAGCAAGCAAGGACAAGTAGAAAAAGGAAAAATAGTATGAAGTACCATTTGACAAGTAGTCAGGTTCGAGTTGGTACTGAAATGGTCGAGCAATCACATTACGTAGGGAACTTTCCCTAACCCTATTTCGATATTCCCTTGTCGCAGTGTTGCTCGTTCGTCCGTATCGAACCTTCGCCTTTACACTTCCCATTTAGGGCTTGGTCGGGGTTGTACTTATCTTTAGACGTGTTCACCCGCATCATCTAACTTCTCTTTCTCTCTCTCTTTTTTTTTTCTCATAGTCTTCTCTCTTTTTACTTTTTCAAGAATCGTACGGTTAATCACCTAATTGGGAATTTCTTTTTCATGATTTTAATCTTCAATAATTACTTACGGCTAAAAAAGCTCAATTTTACTTTTTTATTTACGAAATATCAGATAACAAAATAGTTTCCACCCTTGTTGTTATTGTTGTTGACTATTTCGATTGAAATTGTCATAAAAAAAAGGACAAAAAAAAAGCCTATAGGATGGATCGATATTTCAATCAGATTATCAATCGACCACCGGCCGATTGTCAACCGCTTGCGGTCACCCGCAAACTGTCACCACAGCAGAAATAGGGGAGTAAGAGGGTACCCATGAGAATTCGAAGTCAATCGTTAAAATCAAAAGTCTCGGGGAACCCCACAGGGTGACGAAAGTTCGTTTCTTTATTCGTCAAATTTCTTCTTAAAAATAAAAAAAAAATATAAAAACCCCATAGCTCATCCCTTTTTTTAATTCTATGTTGAAGACAAACAACACGTGTTTGTTTCAATCGAATTGGAGAATATTCTAATTTTTTTCAAAAACATGGTAGTTCAATTTCAATCAGGTGATAAATTTAAAAAAAAAAAAAAAAAGAAATTTCAGGACATCGAGCAATCCTAAATAAACCTAACAGAGAGATGGTTGATCTTAGATGGTTGGTAATCCGATAATTACAGCCACGTGGATGGAATGGAACGAGGATGAGTTGGGGGTGGGTTGGTGATAAGAAAAAGAGAGACAGTAAACGATCGGAAGTGAGATAGAAAACGAGTAGACGCGCCAAGGGAGAAAGTAAGGTAATGGAAAGGAAGAAGGAAGGAAGGAAGGAAGGAAGAAATGGGACGAAGGGAGGGAAGGGTGGTAGGGTAAGCAGAGTAGAAGGAGATTGCAGTCGACTAGGAAGGTTGCCGTAATGAAATCAGGGATGTAATGGCCCCGTCAGAGGGTGCAAACGCCTCCTTCACCCTTATCCCCTTTCCACCCCTCTTCCTCTATCCCAGTGAATCCGATTTTCTATCGGTTCTCTCTTTCCGTCGATCTAAGTCCCCTTTCCCCTATCGGACTTTTCATGTACCGTGAAATCATTAGGTACGCACCATGATCGCAACTAGGAATGAACGAACCAACCAACCAACCAACGAATCAACGAACGGACGAATGAACGTATGAGTTAGTTCGAGTTTAGGTATTTCCTCTTAAAGTATGGGTTCTACCCTTTTTCTTCGAAAATTCAGACCCAATGGGAAATACTCAGAGTGTACTATATTCCACGTAGGTTGAAAATTAGCTGGTGGAATCAGGCTTGCCCATTGATTGTGATACTCGCATAGGCCACTTTTATTCTCTTCCCTATCTCTCTCTCTCTCTGTCTCTCTCTTTTTGGTTTCGATTATTTTCTCTATCTTTCTCTATCTAGTCACATACGATATTCTCTCTCTCTGCGTGGGCTATCTCGAACGTGGTGCGTTCGTACTCCCCACCCCATTTCGTTTTTCTTGAGTGGGGAGTTTTACACACCATGGGTTTCATACTGGCTTCCATCCAGAGCCGGGTTACGATTTCATTCGCTGTCTCCCTTCCCCAACGACCCCACTCTCTTTCTCTCTTTTCCTCTTCCATCGTCGATACCCAACACCAACCAACCCCCATCCAGTATTGCGAGGAAGTTTTGCACGCCGCAGAGCCATGCCAGTGCTCCTCGTAGTAGCTGGAGGTTCCTACCTTTCGTTTCTTTTTTATTCTGCCCTTCCTCCCTTTCCCTTCTACTCCCTTTCTCTCATTTCTTTTTCTCTTTTCAGCAGGAACTTCCTTCGTCGTCTCTCGTACCCAATATTCCATGCATTTTGCTTCCTCCAGTTCTTCACCATCGCTGGATCGAGCTGATTCTCTCTCTCTCTCTCTCTCTCTTTCTCTTTCCAATCCTAGTCGTCTCGTTCCCTTTCTGTCCTGTTTCGTTTCACCGGCATTTCTGGCCCTTCTTCTTCTTCTTCTTCTCCCTTCCGCATTCGTTCGTTAGTTCTTTCTTTCTCTTTCAACGTTCTCTACCCTTCCTTTTCGTACTCTGTCTTTCTTTATCCCTTATCCTAAGTTCCATTTCTTTTTTCACAAGTGGTCTTAGAACCGGACCGGCGCCGGTGTCGTGTTTCGCGTAATAGGTTGCCATATCTATAGCAGCATACCCATCCACTCACTTAGGGGTAGTTTCCTTATTATCACAGTTATTATGATTATCCTACAAATTTTTATTTTGTAAGTACAGGTAGCTCCTCCTACAACACGGCATTTTCTAGGACCCTATCTACCGTGTTATAAGAGGGTTAACTGTACATAATCTATTCCTACCTTATCCTACCATATCTACTACCATATCTACCTACCAACCTACCGATCCCTTAACTATTTTGATAATTCGCAGAAATCCTCACCTACAAGCTTAAATTGTTTTCATATTGGATAACTGGATCCTCTTCCTTCCTTGTTCCCGTTCTTTTCTATCATATTACGTACCTACATCCTTTTCTATCTCACACATGACTGGTAGTAAACGAGGACATTTCTCGATGGGTTTAGAAAGGGTAGATGGGAACGGGGTGGGGAAGGTGGGGGGTAGGGGGTAGGTTACTCTTCACGCTCGTTATCAACCGCACGCTCCGTTTACGCCGATGAAAATCGATGGAGAACCGCGCGCGTAGGGTTGATGTTAATGTCCCTCGCAACAGGTTGAATGAATCGGCCGTTGTTTTCCATAGGGCAGAACTTCGATTGCGTCTGTGCGCGCGCTTGCTCACCCACACTCACAGTCACACATTCTGTACACCTATATCTACATATACAGCAGAGAGAGAGAGAGAGAGAGACATGCGCGTACAAACACATTGGGTAGCCGTCGTTAGCTCGGTTTGCATTTATACTTAAACCAGGATCTGGTGTCGCGCCGATAAGAGGATTGGAGAGGAGAGGAGAGGAGAAGAGAGGGCAGACACGTTCTCTCGCGTGCATGCGTGCGTGCGCTCGCTCGCGCGCGTTCACATATCCGGTACACATCGATGTCCATAAATTGTATCGACGCCACGGTTCCGTGAAGCTTCTCTCTCACACTCTTTATGGCTTTCCGACTATCCCGTTGTGTTAAACCTCCTCGATGTCCCGCTAATTTTCGACCCAGAACGATCACTTTTTTGCTTTTCACTATTTTTTTCTCTCTTTCTCTCTCTCTCAGGTTCTATTTTCTGTGTGTCTCTCTTTCTCTTTTTCGTCACGGTAGACCGCGTTCATCTAGTTGCTCGTTCGTATCCCCATCGGTGGATCTAGCTCGTGTCGTATCGATCACGTCGTTCGTTATCCATCCATGACTCTTAACCCGACGTGTGGGAAAGCATCGAGGATCGTTCGATGTGTAACTATCGATTTCTACCACCACCATCAGGAGAAATTCCGAAAATTCAGAGATACCTCTTCACCTACCGAAATCCAAATCCGTCGAGGATTCGTTCAGAATGAACAGAGAGAGAAAGAAAATACCTGGGTTCCCCTACTACCACTGTTATTCCCACTAAGAGAAAGAGAGGGTGTATGTGTATGTGAAAGTGTGCGTGTGTGTGTGTGTGAGTGGCTAAGAGATGGGTCTTACTGGCGTATTTTCCAACCGGGAGGAAATCCTGTTAACTCATTAATAACTGACTCGCGTTCTACTCGTTCTGGAGAAGCGAAGAGAGTTAGTTCATCTCTCTTGCTTGCCCTTCCATTCCCTTTCCTTCCCTTTCCCTTTTCCTTCCCTTCCATTCCCTTTCCTTGCTTACTACCACACCATTACGTACGGTTCTACTATTACCAACCTGCGGTAGTATCATCGTTCCTCTGGTAGCCAACGGGTAGGATGGCGCATCGTTTTGCCCGCAGGATTAATGGATGAACATTCTCTGGTCTGGTCTGGTCTGCTCTGGTCTGGTCGTCTCTTGGAAGCACGAGATCTGGTGAACGGACTGAACTACGGCTACGATTAGGGAATGCCTCGCTGCACTTGGACATTTTCCTCTTCCAGTTTTTTGTTTTTTTGGTTTTGTTTCTTATCAGCTTATTAATATATCTCTCTTTAAGGGTACTGCAGTATTTTTAGTTCGATACGATTATATTTGTTACTAATCGATATTATTTTTCGTGAATTATATTTAGAGGTGCACCAAAAGTTCCTGGTTGTGTTTTTTTTTTTTTTTTTTTTTTTTATTAGTATTTTCAAAGTATATTTTACAGAAGAACAGTAACTTTATGCAGTTTATAAAACAATTTGTATATAGCAAATAAAATCTAGAAACTTTTGATTTATTTTAATATTATTATAAATGTTATTGTTTTTATTTTAGGTTTGTTATATCGTTGATTTATAATTATAATATTATAATTAAAATTATAAATAAAAAATTATTATAATTTTACTTGTCATATACTATATATTATTTATATATAAGGATTGTTACCTTATATATATAATAGCATCTTATATGTAAATGGCAACCCTGACGCAACCCTGAAGCAACCCTATTATATATTTTTTTTATCCTATTATATATATAATAATTATATTTGTTTTATATGATTAAATATTTCCAAAAATAATGACAAATTATTATACATTAATTATCTTTCAAAGTTACAACGTTTTGTTGTAAATGAAATCTTATTGTTAATAAAAAATTGTTCTCATTTTTGTTTCCGAACGTCATATTATATGAAAAAGAAAGGAAGGAAGGAAGGAAGGGAAGAAAAACTTAATGGAAGGATCTCTTGAGAGAGAAAGAGAGAAAATTCCATACAGTTTTACCTAGTTCTTTCTAGGTTCAAAGAATCGACGACTACGAGGATACGACAAGTAGAAAAAAGAAAAAAAGAGAAAACAAGAGAGATAAACGTAAGGTAAAAGTTTAAGTACGAATATGGTTCCCATATATTTGACAAAAGTAGATGGAAACATATTTTGTAAATTTTGCTAGCTAAAAAATTCCTAGAATTTCATAAATAAAAAAAAAAATAAAAAAAAGAATTCTACTTTCTTCCTAATCATCATATAATTATTATAATTAATATATATATATATATAAAATTATTGTGTTGCATTGATTGAAACGTTGAATTCATTGCAATGCCATTACAAAATCAAAGATAATTAATACAAATCATATGTTAAAAAAATAAAAAATTTCTAAGTTTTTCTTAACATCATATTATATAATATAATTATTATACACAATAATTTTATATATCATATATATATATATATATAAATTTATAAAATATTTTAATATATTTATCTATATAAATTTATTGTTGCATTGATTGCAACGTTAAATTCATTCCAATGCCATTACAAAATCAAAGATTACAAAGATAATACAAATAATATCTTTAAAAAAACAAAATTTAAAAAATATCTAAAGTGTGATCTTGGATAAATATTTTTTTTTATATAATAATTTTACTAAACAAAAAAAGCTATCTTTACTTAAAGAACATGTTTCGTTCTTGATAGGTAATTAATGCAACGCTTATTATGAAAGTAGTTGAAAACTTCGTTAACGAAATACCTTCTACAGATACATATATATACACATAGATACCTTATCATCTTTATCGATCAATGAAAAGTTTAATACATATATATATATATATATATATATATATACCCCAAAAGGGACCCATTTGAGTCTCAACATTCTCCCATTTCGATCTTTTACCATAACATATCTATATCTATATCTATATATATATTATAAGAAATATTTCTATTGGAAAGATTGAAGAAAATTTGGTAGAGACGAATCGATAAAGATCACACGTTTATCAGGTGAATGGAAGATTTGGCAAGCTGCAAAGTATGCTTGTTGTATATACGAGGAAAGATACTCCTTAACGTGTATCACTCGTTCTAAATATTGCCTGGCAAGAAGTAAGACTCGGACGACGTGGTATCTGTGCAGAGATAAACTTATGGCAATACTGAAAAAGTTGTGGGTACGGGGTAAGGGTTTGGGAAATAGCAAAAGGAAAGGAAAGGGGCTTTGCTGGAGTTAGACGATGGTACCTTTTACAGAAGATAACATTTCACTATCTCATTTTCTTTGGTGCATCGTGAATAACAAAAAAAAAATAATACAAGGGGTAGGAGAATTGATTGATCATAGTAGTAGTGGTGTAGCCATCTTCTTTTCTCGCAACGAACCTAAAGAATTACTTTTTTTTTTTTTTTTTATATAAAACGCGTAAAGAAAAGATTCTTGCCAAATAAAGTAGCTTATATGTTAGTAGAATCGTTAGAGGAGTGATGGTAGTAGTCCCCAGTACCAACCAACCAACCAACCCCCATTGGGTCTGCCAATGCCAAACAGACACTGAAAAGAGGCTTGCGTGGCAATCGTTTCTTTCTTTATTTTTTATTTTCTTCTTTTTCCCCAGAACTTTACTATTGTTCTCGAGACATAGAGCTTGAAGATTTATAACGCGATTTTGTCCCACCCCACCTACTCAATCGCGTAGACGCAAGTCCACGGATTTTATTACGCCATATTACCAACCAACAACAACCCTGTTTCAGTTTTCTTATACTACTTTAAAAAGCAAACCCACCCCCTTACCCCTTTTTATATGTGATTCCAACACATAACGGGAAATGCTTTAGAAAATGTTTCAAATGATTTATATCGAAATAACACGTAAGTTAAACTGTATCTAACTTAAACGCCCATTTTGTTTCTTGGATACTTAGATAGAATATTTTCAAGTTCTTCATTAACAATGGTCAATTAAAAATTGCAATTTTTTTTTGTGGGAGTGGAAAAGTGAGGGAGGGAAAAATAGTGATTTTTTTGTTCTATTTTTCATTCTCAATCTTTTTTCTTTCCACTTTCCTCCTGATCTCGAATAATCAATGAAATGTGAGATTTAATTAGGATGCATTAGGAATTCGAGATTGAGTCAGCAGCTGTTAGTCGGCATTTGGCCCACCCCTAGTCGGAAAATAGCCGGCTGCTTTTCTGCCTTCCGGCACTTGGAATAAGGTTGAAATGACGAGACGCTGAGGAGTCTTTAATGAATGCGGATCTGTCGCTAAAACCTTCCAGGACCAGGATGAAGATGATGATAATAATAATAATCGATAACTATCGAGTATCAGCTTTGTATTGCATTGGGTTTGATCTAACTCATTTGCTCTTTTTATTTCTTTTTTTTATATTCACTCAAAAAGTAACTCACGTGACTTTGATTGGGTACATATTTCTTTTTGTATAAATTGTTTTTTATATAAATTAGCATAAGTATAGTATATATATATAGAATTCTACCTGCTACTTTCTAACTTTTACATATTTTTTTAATCCTTCGTCATTTTTTGATAATAATATAATTATTATCAAATAATTGCGGGTATCAAAGATGGCGTGTGTAATCCGCCATTGTTTTATTTTCATTCCCCGCACCCTGTCGGAAATTTTGAAAACTACATTCTTTAAGTTAATAAGAGTTAACCTATTATAATATATATATATATATATGTGTTTCTATAAATATAATTCGATCTATCTAATCAAAACGTTCATCAATCCTGTATCCTTTCTTTTTTTATTTTACTATATTTTTTTTTTTTTAATTTAAAAATAATTTTCAAGCGTGACGTGCTATTAACTTTACCGCACACCGTCCGGTACTCTAGTTATTAGTTCCAGTACGTATAGAGATAATTATTACGAGCATCCGGCTTCACGATAAGCCAAGAACGATTTAGCGTTAGCAGTAGCAACAGCAGCAACAGCAGCAACAGCAGCAACAGCAATAATGATGGTGGTGGTGGTAGACGTATAAATAATAAATGGGAAACCATAGGAACAACAACACACTATGGAGAATTTTGATAACGTATATATCACTGAACCCTTGAAAATTTATAGGAAAACCTTAAGCCTTCGATCTGCATATACTTACCAATATATATATATGTATATATACATAACATAATACATCGTTTTAATGATACATACGTCTAATGTTTCTCATCAATTCACGTTTAATATTGACGATGTTCAGATCCATATGGTTACTTCTTCTTCCATTATCTTTTTGTTAAAAAAAAAGAACAAAAATCTTAGCGCGTAAACTCGCAAAAGAAGGAGTGGGGAGTGTTCCCCATGTTATCCGAGGAAGTGTAGCACCGGGACAGTGTAATCCGTGCAAATTAGATTTAATAGGGTGAATTAGAATCGGTGAGAAAGAGAAAGGAGAAATAATAGTGGATAGAGATGGGGGATGGCAGTAAACTGGGGAAGAGGAAGGGAATCTAGCCCCGTGTCACGCGATGGGTGCAAACGGTAAAGGAAAGTAAGCAAGCAAGCAAGCAAGCAGGCGTGTGCGTGTGCGTGTAAGGGGGGTGGGTGATTCGTAGGAGGATATGACCCTTCTTCTATCTTTCTCTCTCTTTCTTACTGTTTCAACTTGAATACCGTAATCGTCAGTCATCCGGGCCGATGTTGCCGAGCTTACACCGAAGCCATGGGTGTCTACCTTTTTTTTTCTTTACTATGTCCCATGGAACGAGCCCCCCAGTGTTCAGGGCTCTTGGGACGTGGAACGACTATAAGGGAGTCCGGGAGTCAGATAGGGAAAAAAAGGATACGAGAAAGAAAGAGAAATAGAATGAGAGAGATAGAAAGCGGTGGGGGGTGAAGTTGGGGTGAGTGGGGAGGAGGATAGTTGAAGAGTTCGAGGAAGGGTCGGTCGCAGGGATACGTCGCAGCTACTACGCCACGTTTGGACGCATGTGGGAGTGGAAAGGTAAGGGAGGGGTGGGGTTTGGTAGGAGTCGAGGACTCGCATCCCCCGGGGGCTTACAGCTGTCGCGTACCCAACACCTTTTTCCCTTATAGCCAAGGCATATACAAGTTCACGATGTGTATGTATGCATGTACGCACGCACGCACGTATGCATGAATGCATGCATGCATGCATGCATGTGCATGCATAGCGTAATACGCGAATAGAAATTACCCATGTTGGAATACCGGAGGTATTGTGACGAGGCGACACGAAACCCGCCGACTCCGTTCTTTTATCCACCCTCTTATTCTTTTTCTGATTTTATTTTTTTGATTTGTTCACATTCTTTTACGTTATCACATTGATATGTCTGATGAGTAACTTCTTT